CGCCAAAGCTGGGAGTCACTCTGCTCTCAATAAGCAAAATCACGGCGGCGGGATATTCCATGTGGTTTCGGGGCAGCGAAGCGCGCATCTTCGACAAGAAGGACAAGCTATTGGGTGTTATCCCGGTTAGGGCGGGACTCTACAAGACGGAAACAGACGTACCTCGCACTCATGCAGTCACCGAGTCTCCCATCACTGTTACACTCGACGAGCTCCACAAAATGCTCGGACACATTTCCCCCGATGCCGCCAAACAATTGGTGAAGGATGGCCACGTTGAAGGCATCATCCTTGACGAAACCAAGCCATTCCGGAAATCCTGCGACTCATGCGAGTACGGGAAACAGACGCGGAAACCTATCAAGAAGGTCAGCGAGCGCGCGCGAGCGAAAAATGTTGGCGATACCATTCATTCGGACCTTTGGGGTCCATCTCCCGTCCAAACGCCACAGCACAAGGAGTACTATGTCTCCTTCACCGACGACTGCTCGCGATACTCTGCAGTATATCTCCAGCGTACAAAGGACGAGACCTTCGACAGCTACAAAGAGTTTGAGGCTTGGCTGGACACGCAATTTGGGAAGAAGGTCCGCGAGCTCCACAGTGATCGTGGTGGCGAGTACCGCAGTGGCGAGTTTGACGCACATTTGGCGGCACAAGGGACGAAGAGGAATCTGACAGTTCACGATACTCCGGAGCACAACAGCATTGCGGAGCGGTTCAACTGCACTGCTCTCGAGCGTGTTTGCGCACTTCTCCATGCATCTGGTCTTCCTAAAAATCTTTGGGGTGAGGCACTCAAACATGTTGTCTACCTCAAGAATCGTACCTCAACTCGCGTACTCAACGGCAAGACGCCGTACGAAATCCTCCATGGCACCAAACCCAACTTGCGAGACCTGCACCAGTTTGGCTGCAAGGTTTGGGTGCATAATGAGGACGGCTCAAAACTTGATGGACGTGGTCGCGTCGCGCGCTGGCTTGGATTCGACAATGAGAGCAGTGGCCATCATATTTACTGGCCGGAAACACGCGCAATTTTGGTGGAACGAAGCGTCAAATTTGACGACGCAGCAGAATTACATTTTGAAAGGTGTGCTGAATGAGGGGGAGAAGCAGGGAGACATTCAGCAAAAGGCAGGTGCTCAAAATTCGAAAAACGCACCTACCCCTACTTCAGCTCTGCCCTCAATGCCTCCTCCAGCGGCCGTACCATCCACCAGCGCGCCAAATCCATTTTCTTCACCGCCGCCTGAAATCCCACAATTCGTCGAGTCGCTCTTGAAGCGGCAAGGAATCAACCAGTCGAACATCCAGGAGGGCAAGCGCGCACGAAAAGCGACTTCCAAGGCAGCCGACATGGCGTCTAGGTTGAAGTCGTCCGGACCATCCCGAGAGTCGCCCACACAGAGTGGTGACAACGCATCCACTGCACAGAGCAATGAGCAGGCAGGCTATGTTGAGGTGGAGACAGCTCAGAGCTATCACGAGTTTGCTATGCAAGCAGCCGTCGCTGAGTCGTTGGGCATAGAGCCGACGCTAGCAGAAGCCAAACGACGTGGTGACTGGCCAAGGTGGATGGCAGCAATTGACGCCAAGATCAGAACACTGATCGAGGCTGGCACATGGGAACTGGTCCCGTGTCCCGCGGATCACAACATTATTGGCTCCAAGTTTGTCCTTCGCATCAAGTTGAAGGCTGGCGGGGTCGTCGACAAGTACAAGGCCCGCCTCGTTGCACAAGGATTCACCCAAGTCGAAGGTGTTGACTATTTTCTCACCTTCGCACCCGTCGCCAAACTCCCATCCCTTCGTCTCATCCTCGCAATTGCAGCCCGGCATGATTGGGACATTCAGGTCTTCGACTTTCACGCGGCATTTCTCAACGGAGAATTCAAGGACGACAAGGAGATCTATATGGAGCAGCCGCCTGACTATGAGTTTGTGAATCGTTGCGACTACGTCCTCCGCTTACGCAAAACTATTTACGGGTTGAAGCAAAGCAGCCGAAAATGGTATGAGAAACTCACTAAATCTCTTGCCACACTTGGCTTTGCTCCTCTTGCGACTGACTACGCGGTATTTTGGCTCATCTCCGGAGCCGACATCGTCATTCTTGCCATCCACGTCGATGACTGCACCATCACGGGCAGTTCAGCTTTCTTGGTCGACAATGTTCAAACTCGGATTGGACGACTCTTCAAGATTACGCGTCTTGGAGATATTTCGTGGCTTCTTGGAATGGAGATTATACACAACAGAGCGCAGCGCACGCTCTCCATCAATCAGTCTTCATACATCAATTCAATCCTTCAGCGCTTTGGCATGGAGAACGCCAAGCCGTCTGCTGTACCCCTCGACCCGAATGTGTTGCTCTCACGCGACCAGTGCCCGACGGACCCGCAGGAGATTGCAGAACTTTCCACTGTTCCTTACCACGTGGTTGTGGGAGCCTTGATTTGGCTCACCACAGGGACGCGTCCGGACATCTCTTTTTCTGCCGCCATCCTCTCTCGTTTCACCACAAATCCTGGACACCCGCACTGGGAAGCCGCGAAGCGCGTCTTGCGCTATCTCAAGGGAACGCGAAGCTAGAAGCTGACATTTGGAGGAGAAGGAAGGAATGAAGGGTTGGAAGGATATGTCGACGCGGACGGGATGTCCCTCGACAATAGGAAAGCAGTTTCTGGGTACGCCTTTCTTCTTGATGGTGGAGCCGTTTCCTGGTCTGCTAAGCAGCAGGAACTTGTCGCACTTTCGACAACCGAAGCCGAATATGTCGCGCTGACTTACGCGGGCAAAGAGGCTGTCTGGATCCGGAATTTTCTCTCAGAGCTCTTCCTTGTCCAGCTCATGGATCCCATCACTATCCACGACGACAACCAGTCCGCCATCGCACTCGCACACGCCGAGCCAGGCCAGCATCACACCCGCACAAAACACATCGATATCTGGTTCCATTTCATCCGGTATCTCATCGAACGCCGAGACGTTCATGTCACCTACTGCCCGACCGACGACATGGTCGCCGATATTTTCACGAAGGCGCTACCCTCGACAAAAGCGAAACATTTCGCATCGGCTCTTGGACTTTCCCCGGCTTAAGGGGGAGTGTTGGCATTCAAGCCGGACGGTCCGACGGTCCTCACAAACGCGTCGACGTGACGTGTCTTCTCTTGTGGATCCACCGATTCATTCCGGGATCCACATTCTAAATCTGGACTCAACTCGCAAATCCGCCACTTCATATGTTTTCCGTTTGTTTCTTATCCCGTAGTTCAATTTACTTACCAATGGTTCCCAGCAGTCTTACTTAGCATTCTCAGTCATTTAGTTTACAGGTCTTCGTGTCTACTGCCAGTTTTGTAGTACGGTGCTCGTCAAGTTGTATAAAGAGGATATACTCGAGATGAATTCATTAGTGCATTCGCCCTCGTTTTATTGTCCGATTCTCACAGTTCACCTCACAGACAATGAACGACAGGATTACTGTCAGTGGAAGAGCCGGCATCAATCAGGTGAAGACCAACACAGGTTGTGTGTGAGTCTGATTCGGAGACATGACATTCATCTCACAGGTGAGGAGCGACCTCTGTGGAAATAGCTGCACCTCTTGAGAGCACTCAGCGAACCCGTGTGCGCAAGACAGGATTACCGTGACTCATGAGTCTCAGCAGCAAAACGGTAACATAAGAGTACAGTGTGTACAAATATGGCACTGCAGTCGAATATGAGTTTGACCCACCCGCTGATCCAGCATAGTTGGGAAACAGGCCTAGTTTAACTGTGAGGACGTCTATCCGACCCATACACCCGCCCGGTATCGCGCTCAGAGCGGAGAGCCGCATTACATGTGGGACGTGGTTTGACCTCGCGGGATAGCCGCGCCGTTCGCGAGTGTAAGTACAACGAAGATGATGAGTAGGGCTGTAGTTGTGCTTTGTGCTTTAACAGATTGGTGTTGAAAGGGGAGAAAGACCATTGTGTGAAGCGGGAGAAAGAAGAGGGTGTAGACAACACTGTACTTGCCGGTATGAGGGTAAAGGCGAGGACAAGACCAAGCTTGTTGAGGAGGGAGGACAAGACCAAATTCTCGTCGGGATGAAGGCTAGCTTGAGGAAGCCATCTGGCGCCCGAATTTACTGTGATGCGGAAAATAAATGACTGGGCACTATCATGCAAACAGATACATGCACCAAATTCTTCAATGTCCAACGATCCTGCATGCCGAGAATGCGAGTCGCCCAAGGCGAAATCGGGGGAACAATAATGGAGGCTCATATTGAGATCTGTGGCGGTTATGCCAGATGCACCACAAGTTAGCGAAGAAGGAGACTATATATATTCATGGTTTACTAGGCTCGTCGTGATGGATGGTCATGGACGAGAGGCAAGACGCGATCGCTCCATAGCAGCGTTACGCTTTCAAGTCACAGTGTGACCACGTCTGCGTAACGCTGCATGGCACGGTAACAGGGTCCATCACGGCAGTGATGCACGGTAATGATGCACGGTAGCGGCCACGGTAACGGTAGCGGCCACGGTAGCGGCCACGGTAGCACGGTAGCGGCCACGGCACTTTTGTGGTGCCCCTGAACCATGCGCAGCTTTCTCGGGGAAGACGACCCGCATCTCAACGCCTCCAGTCCTCTCGCATACGTGGACACAGAGGCCCCCAGACCAGGCTTAACGCTAGTCATCTCAAGCGAAGCTACGCCTTTCACAGAAGAGATCCTCGCGTCGTTCATCATCCAGGAGCTGACTCTAGAAAGGCAGGAGAAGATAAGTGGTGTTGCGTACGGAGTGGCTTACAATAGCTCGGTACCTTTCTGATGTATATAGCTTCCTATACCTGTGGCTTTGTACTACCTACCGCCTCCTGAAGATCTCTTCTCCTCGCCAAGGCTTGTCAGTCTCACGCTGTATAGCCGAGCGCCTTGTACTCAGCTGGAAGAGTAGATTGCCCGTATCATTATTCTGCGCCACTTTTGTTCACTGAGACACCGATGGTGAAGCGGTTATCATGCTTGCCTTCCACTATAGGAATCCATTATTGGTAGCAAGCGGCAGGGGTTGGACTCCCCTTCGGTGTAATCTCTGTCCTGAAGCATATTTTTTGCTCGACTGAGTAGTGCGGACACATTTAAACTAATATTCTATTCTCAAAAACCTACAGCTACCCATAATTAGTCTTCCCTAGGCATACCCAACATCTCGTGGTACTCGGTGTTTAGGTATGAAATCAGCACCTATCGCTCGTAGTTGAATAAGTGTTGTCGAGCTCGGTGCTTGCTTTGATCATCGGTGTGCTGTCCATCACATGATGTCTGCTGAACCACCGGATTGGTCCTCAGTCATAACAGACGCAGGAACCTCGATGCTTCCTCTAGCGATAGTTTCAAGCTATACAGCATTAGATTCAGACGACGACGGCGAAGACGTACCCCGAAGAAGGCAGTATTCTCCTCCCGCCCATCAAAGTCGCCGTCAGCGCACTACCGCGAATGAGCGACGAAACAAGACAAAAAACACAAGACACACGACTTCCTGAACTGAATACAGCGTGGTTGATCTCGACATGAGCGCCTTGTTATGGGCGTCGGCCATGGCGCTAGCACACATCGTTACTAGCCGCAACATCCAGGACTACTGGGACTCACAGAACTGGAAACGAAGAAGGAAGAGTGGATAGTGAGAGAGTGCTGTAGAGAGCTGCGATAACGGTGGTACGAGACCAAGCACCACCAATGTGAGAACCTTGTCTTATATAGCGCCTTTGTGGAGCGCGTTAGATGACGGGTCTCTGCTAGATGTATTGCATGACGTTCGGATATGCTTCAAGACCGGCGCGCGAGGAAGAGGAAATGGTACGGGGAAAGGCGTGTCTAAGACGCGTGAACGGAGGACGAATATGCTAAGAGAAGGGATGAGTGCTTGTATAAAACGCGTAGGCGGAGGACCAGAACGAGCGATTGGATCCGAGACAACTTTGAACGCCTCGGAAGAACTCATCGTAGCGCGACGCAGCTTTCGTGTACTGTACGAAGTGTGCGCACTGCGCAAAGATGAATTCACGCTTAAACACGGAAAACCAAGAAGATCCCAGGGAGGCAGCTCTCTGACTGGACATCACTAAACCTCTAAACCTTTGGGGAAATGGCATAGCGTGGTAAGTCGACACCCGGGTGGCAATCGATCAGCATTGCTGCCATGTCCTGCCATCCCCACCATGAGATTGCAGGAGATGTCCACCTCTGCTGAAGGCCGCCATTTTTTCACCATCTGGTAGCAATGCCAGCATTCCTACCTCGATGTCAGGCCCGGTAGTCACTTACCATTGTCGTACCAGCCGGTTGCAATGTTATATGTTGATGCGAGTTTGTGATTTGTTCGGAATAGGATGAAAATAGATGTATAGAATAGATATAGAACAAATTACCTAACATCAAGAGCTACGTACTAACATTAACAGATACATACAGAGTCATGACTGGATCTATAGGACGCTCAAAAGAACGTAGTCTCGCCTATATCACGAACCGCAAATGCACCGTCCTCAATGCCCAACTTCTTACACTCCTCCTTCAACTTCCTCGGGCTCGAGCACGTCCTCGGTTGTCAAGACCCACGCGCCCCAATGCATCGCCACGGCCCTCTTCGCTCTAACGTCGCGAAACACCCTCACACTATCCTGCGGCGCACAGTGCATCGGGCTCATAAACCACCGTGGCTCATACGCGCCAATCGGAATCATCTCCATCTCCCCAAATCGCTCCCCAATCTCCTCAAAGCGGGACAGTACGGCATCTCATTCTCGTCTGCGCCATCGGGGACATAGCTGTACCTTGTGTCTCATGCAAGGTAGATGCTCTTTGACGTAGAGGTGGTGATGACCCAGCTAGACCAGAGAGGCTTCATTTGGTCGACTATGGCATGTGTTACGAAGGTGTACATGATGGTGAGAGTGTCTGTGGTTGAACTGGATGAAACGGTGGGTTCGGCTTTCTACCACCAGTCGAGCGTGTGGAAGTGGGTCTTGGGTATGCCGAGGTAAGCGAAGTAGTGCTTGTTTCCTAACGGCGCAAAGATATGGGGCATGCGCTTAGACGTCTTGAACAGCGTTGTAATGGCGTGGGAGTCTTCGATACTACAGGCGCGTCTATGAATCAGCGATTGTCAGCATATATCCCAGCAATGGCGTGTAAGCAAGCCTCTTTGCGACCTGTCGCTGGATTGCCTGGCAATAAAGGGAGGAAGCCTGCGCAGCAGTGATGTCATGTAGATAGAGCGATTGACTGGTGATCACCATGCGGTATGGGGATCTCGGCGTATGATATGCAGGCGGCGACATCTTGACAATGAGTGCCCGTGACATTGTGTCGATGACCGCGTGCGCGTGACCGGGACGCGTGAGCGAGCAATGAGCCAGCAGCTCAGCCAAGGCTGTTACTAATTTGTGACAGATGCTCAGCCGCAAATCGTAAGATAATACATTGTGTGCTTCCTTAATACTTCATTCTTCTCTCCAATTCATCCTACCGAGATTCAGAAATTCTTTCCCGCCTTCTTCGCCTCCTTCTGCAACTTGGTAATTTGCTTCTTCCAACTGTAACACGTGTCGCATTCTATCGTCAGAGTTAATGATGCGAAGTGTCAGTGTCCAAAACACTCGCCCGCAGCCCCATGCTTCTTGCACTGGTACAGGCCCTCCATGTTCACAACAGACTCAGGCACATCGAGGTATGCTCTATCGCTAGATTTAACCTACACGGCATTAGGTACAGGCCTGATTCAGACGACAACAAAGACGACGAAGACGTACCCCGAAGAAAGCATCATTTTCCTGCCGCCCATCAAAATCGCATTCATCGCACTATCGCGAATGAGCGACAAAACTAGACAAAAAAACGAAAAACATGACGAACGACTTCCTGAACATGCTGACTACAGAATACAGCATCGTTGATCTGGATAGCAGCGACTTCGGGCTGGGCGTCGGCCATGGCGCTTGCACACATCAGTACTCACCGCCGCATCCAGGACTGCATGGGACTCACAGAACTGGAAACGAAGAAGGAAGAGGAGTGAGTGAGCGAGTGCTGTAGAGAGGCGCGATGATAGTGGTACGAGAGCAAACAGCGTCTGTGTGGGAGCCTTGTCTTATACAGCGCCTGGATTATGTGGAGCCTGCACACGTTCGGATATGTTCTGAGACCGGCGCGCGAGGAAGGTAATCGGGAAAGGCGTGTCTAAGACGTGTAGGCGAAAGGAAAGCGAGACCCTCCGTGGGCCTCATGACCATCCCGAGTGGATCCGAGACGATAACGACTCATCGTAGCGCGACGCAGCTTGCGTGGAACAGTGTGCGCACTGCGCGAAGATGAATTCTTTGTATACCAGCTGCGCCCCCGTTACTAACTTGGCTGGTCTAAATATTATCGAGCGATGCCAACTTTGATCATTGGCGTGCTGTCCGCTACGCCTGTCCCGCCACCTCAAGAACACATAAGCAGCTCGAAACCGATCGAGTCAACGTTTGAACACGAAAAAGAGACCTAAAATTAACAGATCCACACATCTATTAGAGATACGTACACCTACTGTTTAATAGATACGTACAGAGTTCATTCATCGATCTATAGCACGCTCAAAAGAACGTAGTCTCCCCAATATCACAAACCGTAAACACACCGTCCTCGATGCCCAGCTTCTTACACTCCTCCTTCAATTTCCTTGGAGGCTCAAGCACGTCCTCGGTAGTCAAGACCCACGCGCCCCAATGCATCGCCACAGCCCTCTTCGCCCTAACGTCGCGAAACACCCTCACACTATCCTGCGGCGCACAGTGCATCGGGCTCATAAACCACCGCGGCTCATACGCGCCAATCGGTATCATCGCCATCTCCATCTCCCCGAATCGCTCCCCAATCTCCTCAAAGGCGGGACAGTACGGCATCTCATTCTCGTCTGCTCCGTCGGGGACGTAGCGGTACCCTGTGTCTCCTGCAAAGAAGATGTTCTTTGACGCAGACGTGGTGACAACCCAGCTAGACCACAGCGTCTTTAGTTGGTCGAGTATGCCACGCCCTGTTCTGTGCTGCGCTGGTGTGCAGGTGAGGGTGAGCGTGTCTGTAATGGAGCTATCTTTGGCGGATGGAACGGTGAGTTCGGCTTTCTGCCACCAGTCGAGCGTGTGGAAGTGGGTCTTGAGTATGCCGAGGGATGAAAAGTAGTGCTCGTTTCCTAAGGGCGCGAAGATATGAGGCATGCGCTTGGACGTTTTGAACAGCGTTGTAATGGTGTGGGTGTCTAGACTAGAAACAAATGAGCTCTCGTTCGTAGACGTAGAAATGGACTAACTGGTCATAATGATTATGCTATTAAGGATGACTTGTTAGAACGCCATCATGAATAAAGAGAGGAAATGACTGACAGATATCACGATGGCGTCAACGGGGGGAATCTCTTCAATAGTACAAGGCGCGTCTACGAATCAGCGACTGTCAGAATGGATCCCCAGCTGGAAAGCAAAGGCGTACCAGTGAACCTCTTGGGTCCCATCAACTGTGACGGCGAGCATCTGTCGCTAAAGACGGGATCGAATAGTATCCTCACCCCGCTACTTAATTCCAATAAAAAACACGCGTGTCCCAGCCATGTCGCTTTCATCTGTTTCTCCGCTGCTTTCTCCTCCACGTCCCATCCCCATGTCGGCTTTCGCACAGGAACTATATTGTGCGGCGGCGCGGGTGCTTTCCGCATTGCGGCGCTCAAACTGAACAGGTCCTTGACGCCCAAATAGCGGAAGGAGGGCCACGGATTCTGAAAGCCTCTTGAAGGTTTGTGTGAGACCCAATGGGCGGGTTGCGTATTTGACGTGTAGGTGGGCAGAGCGTCGCTGTGCACTACGATGTCCGCAGAGGAGGACGGGGATGGGATTTGGGATTTCATTGTCGCAGGAATTATCAACGGGGAAGGAGAGCCTGGTGGTACAGGAGATGGCGGACAGTGTGTGGCATGGTAGTGGGCCTCTACGAGGCTTTATTACACCGTGCGTGCCGAACCAACGAGGCCCATCAATGATCGGGGCGCTAATCTCATCAGCATACGTTTGTCATCGATTCAGCCGAAGGATCTAATTGTACGGCTCAGCGGAACTACATGGCTTCATTTGTATACACCTGTAATCGCTTATCGTCAGCGCCACGTTTACTTGCTTGATATGTCTACACATATTCACGAAGCGAACGCGAGACGATCTTCGAATTACTTGATATATACAAGATGGAAGACAAAACGCACCAATGGTCCATAGATAGGTGGTGCCAAATCGAAGACAAGATGACAGTATCGCAGACTAACTTCTAATCGATGAAGTGCAGTGCTAGTATCGTCGCCGAGAAGTATGGAACGCCACGTCCTGCGGCAGAGTGAAATTTGCCTTGTTCATATCAAAAGATGCGTATTAGACACAAGCATGATCCGAAATGCTCTAAAACAGACACCTAGATCACCTTCAGGACAGCTTGTTCTCTAAAGCTGGTTTTCAAGGAAGGTAAATGGCGCGCTGATTCTGTAGACAGACGCTGCGCAATGAACCTTGGATAGACCTAACTGTGTGCGGAGGCAGATCCTGCCTGAATTATGAAGGACGTGTCGGATCTCAAGGTGAAAGGCAAGTGAGAGGAGTGTGTAGCCAAGCAGGAGCAATCATCGCTTTCTGCGGCAAGATTTCCAGCAAATTAAATGATCCATTCGATATTTGCTAGCGCTATGGGTTGTCCACGTATCAGCGTGCTTATCAGGCGGGAATCTACTGAATGAAATTGAATGTACGCATGCTCGCCCCCAGAAAAGCAGGATGGAATCTAGGATGTCAATCTCTGGCCAGACGTTTGCCTTACCATCGACGGGATACACTGCCGCCTTCTCGTGGTCTCCGTTGTCCTCTGTTCGCTTCTCTTCTCTTCTCGCTTCTCTTCTCGCCTCCACCTCGCCCCCCGACTCATGGTATTTGGGAATCCGACCCACCCATTCACACCGACCCTTGACTTTTCTCTTGCCTCGTCCTACCGGCCTTCCTACGACACGTTCTGGAGGCGGCGGTGCTGGCGTAGACGACAAGTGGGCCGATGCCTCCGGGATCTGCTCGATTGGGAGACATCATAGCGTGCACGAAGTGGCGGACAGTACGCATATGGATGCGTGGGTACGCCGCTGAAGTTGGCACCGAGCTCGTCGATACCTAAGTTGGCGGCGGGGGCGCAGCGTGGTGGGCACTGGCAGGCGCAAACGTAGTACACCGAACGGGAGTCGAACCCCTTCCGCTTGCTACCATTTAATGCGGGCACATGCATCCATGGAAGGCAAGTATGATAACCGCTTCACCATCGGTGCAAGAAAGTGTGCTGCAATGAAAACCATCATATTCTCAAATGGCAACAACGCGCAGAGCGACACACCTTGAGGCTGGTGAGTGTTGACGAGGAGAATGAATCTTCAGGAGGCTGTAGGCAGTACAAAAGCAACAGGTATGGGAAGTTATGTTACATACATCAGGAAAGTATCGAGCTACTTATTGTATGTGACTCTGTAAGCAATGCCAGTTATCTTTGTTGTCTTGCTAGAGCGAGCTCCTGGATGATGAACGATGCGAGAAGCTCTTCTGTAAATGGCATAGCCTCGCTTGAGATGACCGGTGTCAAGGCTGGTCTCGGGCCTGTGTAACCACATATGCAAGAGGACTAGAGGCGGTGTCGTCTTTCTGAGAAAGCTACATATAGCTTATCGATACCGAAACAGCGCCAAGTGACTTTGACGTACTCTGTATCTACTTATCGTTTGACGGGTTTCCCAATTTTGTACAGGCACTAAAAGTGCTTTGCGCACAAGCGAAATCGGGGCAAAAAAAACTTTTGGGTTTGGTCAACTACACCGAAGGGAAGTCGAACCCTTGCCGCTTGATCTCACAAACAGCCTGTCACACGAATGTCAGGCAAGCATGCTAACCGTTGCGGTATCGATGTAGCAAACATGGTCTAAGTATATGGCGTTATCCCGTGTGTAAAGGTCCATTTTAGAGCCGGACTCAATGAGTTCCGATTGTCTGATTGCATTCCGACATGTCTACTTAAATCTAGAAAGACTGGTCACACCAGCGTGTAGTTCAATCTTGTGTACATTAAGCATTTGTTTTGGATTCTTTAACAAATATGCTGCTCTTGTTCGAACCCGTCGCGGTCACGTTCAAATTGATATATAAATAAAAGTAGGTACTATAAACAAGTGTCTGACTACGCGCCCATCTCTATAGCACCCTGATACTGGGGTGCGTACTTATGCACGATCTTCCAGCTCGGAACAAGCCCCGGCGCACAGAACAGTATAACAGCGAGAAGTTCTGGCAGCGCGGCAAGAGGATACCAGTAACTCTCATCTCTCTGTTTCGCTTGGTCACTGACTGTGGCTGCAGAGTATATCTCGCGTATGAGCATCAGGACGGAGATGACCACGAATATGTAGGCGCCATGGATGCCACCGATGGAACGATCGGCAGGCGAGAACGACTTGGATCCTAGAGCACATATAAGATAAGTCACAATCAAAGCGAGGACCACCCACGTTCTCTTTCGAGGTACAACAAGTACACAGTCTGAAGGGCTTGTACGATCGTGAGGATCAGGAAGATGATGACGCTGACTTTTCTGAGGGAGGCGATTGTGTCGGGGGACATGCTACTGTTCGTTGACTGGGCTTGCGTAGCGGCTACAATACCGAGTGCAATGGCGGCAGTGCCTGTCAAGTGGAAGCACGTCCGACGCCACCTCATGTACACGGAAGCGACGCGTGAGATAGGCGGTGGGAGATCAAGGAGGCGTTCGCTGGGAAGCCAAAGTCAATGGAGTGCGAGAGAAAAGCAAGTCGAAAATATATATACCGGTCGAGCACCACGCCATACGCCGCGAACAAGAGACCGAAGAAGCCAGCAAGGAGCAAGATTTGGTCCACAATGAGGAGGGTGAGGCTTTCGCCTGCAGAGTCGGATGCAATCTCAATCGCGCGAATCAAGAATGCTGCGACACGAACTGTTTTTCGTCGGGTCTATTAAGCAGTCAATTGAATTGAACAAAGAACTTACTGGAACAAAAGACATGCAAAATAATCCATATCCACGTAAAATCAGAAATGGCTTTGAAAATAAACCAACCCGTGAGTGGGGCATACGCGATGGCGAAGATGACTGCCGCCGCGAGGGAGTTGTACCCGAAGCCTGCTGCGTAGTTGGTTGACATTGGTGAAGAAGAAGAAGAAGAAGAAGAAGTTTGAATGGACAACTTGAACGAGGAATACGCGTCTTATGATGCCATGTAGTCGTTTCACTGCGGAAACACGTTGGAGCGTTCGTGATGAACCTGGAGGGCCAATGTTGAATGGAGTGCTAAAAATATCGCCACTCCGACGGACAGTGGTGATAGTGGACGCGGAGCTGCGGAAAGTTGCACAAAAGGAAGAAACGAAAACAGACCATAGGACTGCGAAGAAAGTAGAGACACGTCCTATCACTTGTCATGGTTGAGGAAGGTTCGTCACGCCTGCCTGCATCTTTGGAGGCGATTGGAGATTCTCGATAAGCGGCTGCCGCCCCGCGAAACAAGCTCTCTTTTGATGAACGCGATCAGGGTGTACAGATCGCCCAAGCTGTGTGGCCACGACCCTGATGTGCTGCTGGACTGCTAGCCGAAAATTTGGGAATCGAGTCATCTGAGGAGGACAGCATCGCCTTTTTGCGTTCCTTGTTTATTTTGATAAACTTACGATGGTTTGGCGTCCGCGGCGCAGCAGATAATGTGCTAGTCCAAGTGCGTTTCGTGAAAGTTGAGGTTGCCTTCATGATGGTTGCGATCAAGTTTCAGAGCACAGCCACGCTGATCAATCTGTTTCTAACCGCCACATTTGTCTGAGGATCCTTGATGAAACCGTAACCTTGTAGTAAATGGAGTACAACGTCTGCCTCAATTATGGCTATTTATCCTTCCGCCGAAGGCGGAAATTGAATTGGTATGCAAGGGCTATCGTCGGCGGTCTACATTCTCTCGCAAGTAACTTTGGTACCGCACAGTCCGCTGCCATCTTCGCTCTGGTATAAGGTGAGTTATAACAATCGCTTCGATGACGTTCAAAAACTTACCCCTCGAATAGGACAACATAGCATGCGATCGGTACGCGAATCCGTCTCGTCTCCTCCGAGGCAGTCTTTGTTGTCAAAGCACTTCCTCTCTATGGTCATTCCAAAGACAGATGTCGTCAATCCCAATGAACAGATGGCCAGCATCAATTTGGACAGTGTAAAGTGCATCTTGAGTCTAAGTGAGTGGTAGTTGACGTGCACCGGGCGCGTTTATGGTGACTAGTCCCGGAAGCCAGAGTTTTAAATCATCGGTGTTGCGTTATCAAGGAGACGTGATGCACTCTGAATGCCGCCCATGATCAAACAACGAGCGGTGTTTACCTGTTGTCGAAGTGAACACTTGTCTAGCAACGCCGAACACGATGATCGACACATAGCATTGTGGGATACCCATTGCGATTACACGGTACATGCCACCCTGTTCTTGGCCGCATTTTGAAATTTGGTAACACGCCGGTATCGAAAGCACCTGTTCAAATCTTCAAAACGATCCGCCCGGCAATCTTCCCAGCCTCCATCTCCGCCAGGACGCTAGACGATATTCACGCTATAGTACTTCCCAGAAGTGACCTTGACTTACCGGTTTACATCTTCCAGCTTACATTTCATAGTTACATCGGACCTTGCCCCTCGCCGCGAGTGCCAGCGCTTCAATGGCGTCTTGTCGATTCCTAACCTGCCATCAATCGCAACTCCAAATGATGGCCTGGCGACCTACCCAACGGCGGAACCAATCCAAGTGAGCGACTTCGTTCATAAGTTCGGCGGTTCTGTTCCTCCGAGAACTTGGAGACTCACTTTGGAAACCATGATGTTGTGTGGAAGACTCAAAGTGGCAGTACTAGAAGCCATCCCAACGGTTACCAAGGTACCCGTTTTCCGTAGGTACAACAGTGCTTGATTGAATGGCTCTGCCTGTGGGAAGGTAATAGTTTGATAAGGCGAAAGGAAGTGAAGCTGCACGAACTTGTCCAGCGGCGACAACAGCGGCATGGGGACCCAGCCCTTCTGCAGCATCCATCACGTCTTGGACGACATTGGTGCTGGTCGCAAAGTCGATGAATTTCTCGGCGCCGAGCTTCAAGCACAGATCGCGTTTTGCGTCACCCGTGTCTGCAAAAGTTGTTCGAAAGGTTTTCAAAGAGAGGGAACTTACCGATGGCGATGACTCGCAACCCCATTGTTTGTGCGTACTGCACTCCTACGAGTTAAAATCATAAGGAAGAATTCACGGAAGAGCAGGTATCTATGATGCACCTAGATGACCCAACCCCCCACCTGCGCCACTGAGAGCGACCCAGTTTCCGGCCTTTGGTTTCGTTTGTAGAAGCGCTTTGTATATGGTGACGCCCTTGCAAATGGGACTCGTTCAGTATGGCCTCGTCAAAGGACATTATCACACTCACTGCACATAGGATTGGCGTCGCCGCCGCACTTTCGAGACCTTCGGGAATTGGGGTCACGTAGTCGACATAAGCTAGCTGTGTAGACCGTTATAGAAGCTGATTTAGACATCCATTTTCGCTCACAGCATATTATGTGAAGGTTCCGTGGACGGTGTATCCATGAACTTTGGGCGAGCTACATGCTGAAAGGACAGGATTGAGCGTGCTTCGTTTCAATGAAATAGGGCGAGGACAGTGCGTACCCGACTCGCTGCCCTGCCGACAGCATTCACAACTGACAGGAAGATCCTATCGGTGCGGGACATTCCTACTAGAGAAAGCTCTGGACGCACTTCATACAGACTGAGGCCAACCATTTCAGGCCAACCCTGTCGCCAATCTTCACTCCCGGATTTCCACTGTTCGCCCCGATAGCTACAACATGACCGATGCCCTCGTGTCCTCCGACTTTGGGAAGTCCGATATCTCTGGACCGTGTCCATTGCGAATGTGTAGATCAGAGTGGCAGACACCGGCGTAGTCTATCTGCACGAGGCATTCACCAGGAGCAAGGTCCTCGGGCTGCTTCACTGGCCAATCGTTCTTCAAGACAAGCTCGCTTCCGAACTCAGAGATGATAGCTGCGGGAGCGAATGGAGGAATCATTGGTCGGGTAATGAGTACAGATTGATTTGAACGAAGCTTTCATATGCTTAATCGAAAGACCTTGTGACGTTGGGGCGTGAAAGGAGTGAGCTGTCATGAGTCGTGTCTAATACAAGCGACATGTGCTTAAGGGTTGTACATGGAAGATGGGCCGTATAGCGCCGTCTGAAAGAAGATCTGTCGTACGTCCTAGAAAGTTGGGTCAGATGAGCACTGATGAGGGTGATGCCAAGGTCTGACCTTGATGCTCGGCACGTACACAGCGCCCAGTACTGCGAACAGTACAGCCAGCAGTGTCACCGTGACCTTTGAGAGGCGACCTCGCGCCTCTTTTCTCACAGTGGCTGCCCACTGTATCTCGTCTCCGCCAATTCTCTGGTAATGTGACCAGTCCACGCGTCGCAGCCATAGATAAAAGAGACTACCGGCACCAGGAAAAATGCTTGTCACTTTGCCGTCCCTACCTCGACGATACCAAGACACACAGTCCATGAAGACGCTTCTTCCTAGTCGAGCATGGATCTTCTCATTGTAGGCATCAGTTGCTTCATGCGTTACGTTAAACGCCGATACTTGTCCGGCGAGGACTGGCTTGATCAGCTTGATGATGTGGCAATCTGTACGAACATCAGTTATCGTCCGTGGGATATGTACACGACCGCCTACCTGAACTTCTTCGGTAAAGATAACGGACGTATGACCCGTCGTCGTGTTGGGACCTAGCAGTCTGCTATCAGTAATGAACGATGTAGATTGTGTTGCAGACCTGAAACTAAATAGAAGTTGG